AGGAGAGGACTCTTTAAAGTAGAGACACTACATACTGATATACACCTGAACATCAGCAGGAGAGGACTCTTTAAAGTAGAGACACTACATACTGATATACACCTGAACATCAGCAGGAGAGGACTCTTTAAAGTAGAGACACTACATACTGATATACACCTGAACATCAGCAGGAGAGGACTCTTTAAAATAGAGACACTACATACTGATATACACCTGAACATCAGCAGCAGAGGACTCTTTAAAGTAGAGACACTACATACTGATATACACCTGAACATCAGCAGCAGAGGACTCTTTAAAGTAGAGACACTACATACTGATATGAACCTGAACATCAGCAGGAGAGGACTCTTTAAAGTAGAGACACTACATACTGATATACACCTGAACATCAGCAGGAGAGGACTCTTTAAAGTAGAGACACTACATACTGATATACACCTGAACATCAGCAGGAGAGGACTCTTTAAAGTAGAGACACTACATACTGATATACACCTGAACATCAGCAGGAGAGGACTCTTTAAAGTAGAGACACTACATACTGATATGAACCTGAACATCAGCAGGAGAGGACTCTTTAAAGTAGAGACACTACATACTGATATACACCTGAACATCAGCAGGAGAGGACTCTTTAAAGTAGAGACACTACATACTGATATACACCTGAAAATGAGCATAATAGGCCTCTTTAATGTCAAATAGCTTGTATTCTCTATTGCTACTTAACATTCACCTAATTATCTTGAGGTTTTGAACAGTTTACCCTCTGATATCTTGTCTTTCAGAAAGTTCTGACAAGTTTAGTTTTCAACTGCTTCACTCAGGACAAGCTGAGGAATAATGACAGCACTTACTTTTAGACTAGCCTCACTTCTACTACGCAATTGTGTCTACCACCGTGTCTCGATTTCACTTTCACAATAAAAGCTCTAAACATTGCATAAACTCCATCACTGCCTATCAGACGGTGGTTTGGTAAAAGGCAACTCAACAAACAATCTTACAGTAGCTAAACCCCAGGAAGCACGAGGGGGGACGTTAGCTGTGGAAACTCAAAGTGAAGGTGAGGAGAGAGAGTGATAAAAACATTCTGATTGGGTTTCTAGATCTTTGCCATACAGTTGTTTCTAGCTTTCGCTAACACATATAGCCAGGCTGCCATGTTGCTTACAATATATGAAGTCATAAATCAATATTCTAGTTAATGAAATAAAAATCAACAGACAAGTTTTAACAAATATTTTAACGTTTTGGAAACAAATCCAGCTTGTCCTGTGTTGTTGGTAGCTCTGAGGGTAACTGTGAAAGATCTGGATGTTTTTGCAACAGACCACAAACAACACGCGAGGGGCAAACGGAGAAAAGTGATCCGTTTCCTGTTTAACGCTTGCTAAAACCATAACAACACACATCATCACACAATTTGTCCACTTGATGAATTGAATGTGTGATGGTGGGTCAGGAGGGGCCTCTCATGGCGCGGGGGCTAGTGCTAACAGGCAGCCCTCTCTGGTACACACGGTTCTTATGCATGACCACCTCCTCCGGACACGGACACAGACACACACACACACACACACACACACACACACAGACACACACACAGGGATACACAGAAAACATGCGTTGCCCGGAAGTGGGCAGGTCAGGTGAGAGATGAGAAACCGCAGACAGCACAGGGTGAATACTGATGCACACACACACTACACACAGACACACACTACCACCCAGAGACACACACACACACCCAGAGACACATGCACAGGCACCTACATGGTGGGCCACTTCAAACACATTCCACAGCATGCACAGCATTGTCGGAAAGTGCACTCCAGCGAAGTATCCGATCGGGCTACACACACACTCTCTCACACACACACACACACACACACCTATAGTTGTCTTAATTTAACAAATCAACACCAGTTAAGATAGGAAACTATCAGTGGTGTAAAGTAACTAGGTAGATTTAATCAAGTGCTTTACTGAGACTTGTACTTTACTTGAGTATTTCAATGTTATGCTACTTTGTACTTTTACTTTAGTACCTTTACAGATGTGGATGAATGATGTGAAATATAATCAACTCTTAAATCAGACTTTAGTTCCACCTGGAGTAAATTCACAAGCTACCCTGCAGTATACAAAGTCATTCAAACTAGCTGCACCTTTACCAGCTTTGAGAACACTTTCATGATCAATCATTATAAAACATATCATATATATTATTCTGAAATGGAGCAATCTGCACAATGACTACTTTTACTGTCGCTACTTTCACTAGATTTTGATGAGAATACTTTTCTACTTTTACTTGAGGAACATTTTGAATTCAGGACTTTTACTGTAACAGAGTATTCCTACACTCTGGTACTTCTACTTTTACTTAAGTACTCCCACCTCTGGAAACGTATCAGCTGATAACCGGCATGCTTTTGGACATTTAATCATGTTATCAGGGCGGGAGATTCTTCAGGCTTTGAGGTGTGTGTAAGCAGCATACACTCTGTGGAAAGCATACACAACAACACATGCATACACACATGCACTCTACCCTTTTCCAACAGAGCTGTGCTTACAAGCCTGAGAGGAACGAGAAGGGGGCAAGCCTCCCAGTTGCACAACTTGTTTTTCACGAGTTTTTCAGAAAACTGCTGATAACTAAAGCCAAAATCAAAACCAACCAACACTAAACTTTAAGACGTTCTCTAGAGAGCATTTAGCAGATTACAGCTGCTTCAAGGTTTATATATCAATACTACTTCCTCTTTCCCAGGACTGAGGAAGTCCTAGAATGAAGATTTTTAAGTATTTTTGGTTGTTGCTCTGCGTAAACATCTCAAGAGTGCCAAATATGGTCACTTCCCAGAGAAAATCAGGAACCAGAAAGCAGCCAATGACATGGAGAGGAAGAGGAGGAAGGAGGGGTCCCAGCAACCCTGTCTCATAAGACCCCTTTAAGGGCCTCTGTTCTGTCTGCATGACCTGTGTAAAGTAGCCAGAACATTTCCTTTAACCCCCCCCACCCCCCCCCATGGAGCCATTTTTAACCAATAGCCCCTAAAAGTGACCTTAATGAAACACAAGAGACACTAAACATGTTTTTAGAATTGTTTCCGATTCATTCTCTACTTATAAATTGGCTTTTTTTTACTCCATGCACACGCGCTATGTTCATGAAATGTTTTTGTGGACTTGTGCAACACGTCATCTAAAAACACTGAGCTCAAATCTCAAAAGTACAAATGTAGGTCAAAGGTTAAACCGCTGATAAACAGGTACAAAAATTAATCCTCTGTATTTTGTAAGCTGCTATTCTTTATCTGTAATGAGTGTTTTCCATCGAGACGTTCATTCATTCTAAGGAAGATAACAGTATTAAGTTACCACACGGGTAAATGTATTATCTGAGCTTTTAATAACAAGGTCATTTTCTCATAATTTCTCCTACAATAATACAACAATTGCCTAGTACATACAATTCTGTACATTTTACAGCTGGGAAATAATTGTATGAATCAAGGCGGTGTATTTCTATAACTTGGGTCAATTAAATATTTCTTTTTTAAACACATGCATCCCAATAAGATATTTAAAGACCAATATTCTGGATTTAATTAATCTGCTATAATGAATGATCCTGGACAAATTATTTTACACGTTTGATTGTACTGTTTTATGTCAATAAAACAGATGTTATCAGATTGTTCCTCCATTTATATGACTGATTTAATAATACAGCAGCAACCAGACAGAATGGCATCAATTTAAAAACACAATATAGCATATTATCACTCCACTGTATCATTATTAAGATCATTATGTGGTTTACAGCGGGATCATTATCTGCTCCTCCCTCTCTCCCTCTCTGGCACAGCATCGCCGCACTGTTTACATTAGAAAATAAAACCTTAAATCATTCATTTAAATACAAAAACACACAGAAAAGGCATCCTGCGGTGGGGAAGACGCCCGTGCTATCTGCTACAGAGCCATGGAGGATAATCCAGCTCGTGTAAAGAGACTTCTTAGCGTCGAAGGCTAATTTGTTTACGTCCAGGCTGCAGCAGCGCCGTGTGTGTGTGTGTGCGTGTGCGTGTTGTTTTTGGTGTGTGTCTGTCGCCATGAGAGGCCTAGCAGCGCGCACACAGGGCCAAATCCTGCTCCTCCCAGTTTAGCCTCGCTGCAGCAGACCACACTAGTCCAGATCCAGAGACTAATCTGGCCCTGGGGCTCCGGCACAACACAGGCCGCTCAAACATGGAGCTTTAAGGGACGGGGGGGGGTGGGATTATTCAGTACATTTACACAGGAATATCAATAATAAGCGCCAAACTACGCATACGCAACAACTGCCATTACTAGCCCCTTAATTAGACCCTGTTTGGATCTTTTACGCATGCGTAAAAATGGAGGCGAGAGTCCCGTGACTATAATTTTAATTGATACGAAAAAATAACAATAAATACTTATATTTTTGAAAGCATCATAACATTTCAGAGACTTCAAAACGACATCAACTAACTTAACTTAATTTATAATATTCAAACAATAACAGTATTAGTTTAAGTCTGTATACAAATATATTTGGTTTGTTTATGGTGTTTTTATTAGACTTGTTGTTAGATTACTCATTATAGAGGGATAAACTAACACAAGTGATAATAAGATAAACTAACTTACAATGGTTTACAATATTCCAACAATAATATTATTATTATTATTTTAAGGCTATGTAAAGGTTTATTGGGTTTGTTTATGGTGTTTTTATTCGACTTTATGTAAGTTTATCACCCTATAATGACACATAACACATATCTAGATTTTACGCGTTTTATATCTGTATTATGGTATTTCCTTAAGGTAAACAAATAACTAAAATGGTTGCCTAAACACAATATTAAGTCAAATAAACAAGGAAATAGTCCAATATGTGCCATGACAAACAAACAGCAACATTGCCAGGAAAATATTCAAAAATAAGTACTCACTTTCTCCACTGATTAGTCCACACTGGCATATAATGCAGGTGCCGATGATAAAAAACACAAGTTGTGCTCTCAGCTTGAGCGTCCACCGGCTCATGTTGACAAGTTGTGCTCTCCTCTGGAAGCTTCTCAAAACAAAAAAATCTTGAGGGAGAAATGTTAATTTCACCCCAAAAAAAAAGGTGTTGGAATATCAAAAGTATTGAATAAAATGATTAAAAATGAAGGTCCTCAACGTTGCCCCCCCTTGAGCCGGGGGGAGAAATACATCTAGTATCTTCCCAGCCAGCAAGTTGGTGATGTTTGTGAGCCCTGGAGCAAATACAGACCACTAAATAACGTGATCTTGGCTTCTGGCAACACATGTGCGAGTAAAGTTCTTCATTTTCCTCAAGTGGAGGCGACAGTCCACGTTCATCTGTTTAATTGTGGTGAGAAATAACAGTATTGTTAGGATCCAGCAGGCAGGGGGGGGCTTGTTTGGAGGAGATCCACTGGCCCTTGGGTTAATTCCCTTGTAATGCACTGCTCCAATGAGGGACTTCAAAAACAAGTATTTTCCCTCTGCACTGTGTTTTAAAACGTCCTCTTGAGTTCCTGCAGCTGGATATCACCCAGAACCTAAATGCAAAGCAAATATCAGGAGTTTGGAAGTCCACAGGTCTTTATATCCCCCCTGGTTGCTGGTATCTCAGATGGAAACACATCCCAGGAAGAGGAGCTACGTGCAGGAAAAACGTGCAGCTTTTCCCCACTACGACCTTCCTCTGAACTCCTTCACCCTCGCTGACCACCACCACCACCCGACAGCCATGAAACGACCAAACGGGAGAAGGAAAACAAAGAATTTAGGGGTGGTTTCCCCTCTCCTTTCCCCCATGCACCGTGAACAAGGAGGAAAAAACGCGTTCAAAATAAAGTGAGGAAACTCTCCCACCACGCCGCCCCGATTCTTTTTCCCAGATTAACGTGGGGGGAAAACAAGCTCGGTGTTAAAATGTAAAATAAAATATTTAAAAAACACACACACACGCGCGTACAAAGTCAGTATTCCCGAAAAACGATGAGGTAAACACACATAAAAAGGACTTTAGTGTAAAAAACTTGTATTCCCGGTCCGTGTAGCGGTGTCTCTCCCTCAGGTTCCCCCTCTTTCCGTCTCTTTTCTCCGCCAGTAAACAAGTCCTGCCAGTCACCTCAGCTGGGCCGCACATGGCGGGAAGGAAGACCCGGAGCGGAGTACCGGAGCTCCGGGAGCCGAGCGGGCTGGATCCGGAGTGTCTGAGCCGCGGAGAGGCAACACACCGGGGAGGGGGTTATCAATATATATTCAAGATTCAAGGCTTTTATTGATATGTGATCATAGCTACAGTGTAGTTATGACAATGAACATCTTAGGTCTCAGGCTCCTCCAACAGTGCAACACAATAAAACTGATAATAGTGCAAGTAAATAAAATACTATAATAGAAATTGTGCAGAATAGTCTATATACAAGTAATTGGAATATTGATATATATAAGTTACAACCAGATGAATGTTATGGATGTTCTTTCAATAAATATATACATGTGGTGTGCTAGACATGACAATAAATAATATTTATAATTATTATTATTATTATTAAAACAATAATAATACCAATAGTAATACATTATTATTATTATTATTATCATTATTAATATAAATAAATATGACATGTAATAGGAATAACAATAATAATAACAATAATAATAATAATAATAATAATAATAATAATAATAATAATAATAATAATAATAATAATAATAATAATAATAATAATACACATCAACACATTTTTTAAAAAATGATTTATTTGTGGTAGGATATAATTCAAATACAGATTCAAACCAAAAATAGTAATAATAATAATATTAAATAATAATATTATAGCACATGTGTTCAGTTCATATAGTTGTACATTATAACAAAAGACAGTCATTTATTTCAGAATCAGAACACTGGTTTATTCACAGGGATATTGGGTTTTATCAGTTGCTCCGTTTGAGAGCAAAATAAAATAAAAAAAGATTTATCAACATAAGATATTGAAGCAAAAATGCAGAAAAAGGATAAAATAATAACGAATAAAGTAGCATTTTCCAATCAAACCCCCACAACGTGAAAAAACTAAATGTATTAGATGAAGCAAAGAGGATCACTAACAATGTCCAAGACCAAGAACCTGCAGCATGTGATCAACACTCAGTTTGTTCTGCAAGATAACAATGCAACTATTTCACAATCAGCAGATCGTCACGGAGCAGAGAGACTTCACAGAGCAGACAGTAAACAGTCGCCCTGCAGACAGGAAGTGAGGAAGGTATATAGTTCCCTAAGATTTGCATAGCAACTATCCGAATAATGAAACCTGTCCTCTGCAGGAACTGAACTGCTCAACACCTGAGGCTGTTTTCTGTCCTAGCAGCAAGTATACACTGCCAGTTCAGGACAACACACTGAGTTCCTTTACTTAAGTAAAAGTAGGAATACTAAGTTCTGAAAAGTACATGTTTTATGATTTAACTTAGAATTAGATAAGTATATTCGGCCAAATGTACTTAACATTACATTACATGTTACTTGTAAGTCGCTTTTATCCAAAGCGACTTACATACTCAATACTGTGGGCAATCCCCACAGGAGCAATTTGGGGTGAAGTGTCTTGCCCAGGGACACAACGACATGCTGACTGCAGTGGGGTTTGAACCTGATCCGAACACCAACGCTCTAGTCCATTACGCCACAGTCTCCCTTAAAGTTCAAAAAGCTCCCCTTTAGCAAAATATCTGTTTTCAGTGTCATATAAATTCAATATAATATTAATATATATGTGTATGTTTCTTACATATATATATATAGATATTTTATTACTATTGTTTTACTTTTTTAAAAGTTGTTTTAATTTGTTTAATTTATTTATTTAATTTATTTAATTTATTTATTTAATTTATTTAATTTATTTTATTTATTTTATTTATTTTATTTATTTTATTTATTTTATTTATTTTATTTATTTATTTTACTCTAAAATGGAGCAACTGTCCTGGAACCTCTTGGATAAATCAAGTATTCAGATTATTTCTCCAAAGTACAAGTATGTCAAAATAAGTACATACATGAGTAAATGTACTTACTTTCCACCACTGTTGGTAGAGTTCTCACTTTAACATAAAGCCTAAATAAAAGACCCATGATCATTTGCTTCTTGTTTACCACATTATGGTGCAGGTTATATATATATATATGACAATACGTCGTTTTATATTCCACTATATAGTATTTAATTTAACTTTCAGTGTCAGTTATTCCTGGATTTGACTTGCACCACTGTGTCACTTGTACTCTTCTCTTGCAATATTGAAATGTTTTTACTTTCGTGTCTCACTCTCATTGTTTGTTGCTCAGTTCGAGGTGCCTGACACACTGCAGCCTATGTGCACATGACAATAACACCTTTAAATCTTGTCTCTTTGAGTCTTGGATCGTGGACGTTGTGTGTGTGTTTTCTCCGATGGTACGCTGCTGTTCTGGAGCTGTTGAGCAGGCTTGTTAATCTGAGGAATGTTGTTACCCGGTGAACAGAGTAAATGAGGTCTTAGTGAGATTAAATGTCACAGGTCTAAAGGACTAAGGCTCCAGGAATCTAGTCAAAACAGATCTCTTTGTGGTGGTCACGCTGTCTGACGCACGCACACACACACACACGCACGCACGCACGCACGCACGCACGCACGCACGCACGCACGCACGCACGCACGCACACACACACACACACACACACACACACACACACACACACACACACACACACACACACACACACACACACACACACACACACACACACACACACACACACACACACACACACACAGGCAATCTCCTCACACACTTCTTCTCAGGTACTGTCAGTGCTAGAGGAAGTACACAGATCCTTTAAGTAAAAGTACTAATACCACACAACAAATACTAACAAATACTATAAAACTAACCTATCCCTACTTAAGGGTCACAAAATATATATTTCATCATGGTTTAAAATAGGTAAGATGTAAAAAACACAGATATATGACGAAGAGAAAATGCATTTTTGGAGTAGAATAACTTGTTTAGAAATCCCAAACCACTTTTGATCTAAAAGATTCCTCTCTTTTTGAGAAATTAGCAGGATAAACAACTCTTTATTACACTTTTGATTGCTGCTTTTACTTAAGTAAAGGATCTAAATACTTTGTCCATCTCTGCTTAAAGTCCAATTCTTTGTATGTTTTCTTAAAATGTAAAGAACTAAAGCTGTCAGATAAATGCATTGCAGTAAAACTACAAACTTAACCTATGAAATATGCAGAGGTGTAGAAGTACTCAGATCTTGTACTTGAGTAAAAGTAGAAGTACTCAGATCTTGTACTTGAGTAAAAGTAGAAGTACTCAGATCTTGTACTTGAGTAAAAGTAGAAGTACCAGATCTTGTACTTGAGTAAAAGTAGAAGTACCAGAGTGTAGGAATACTCTGTTACAGTAAAAGTCATGCATTCAAAATGTTCCTCAAGTAAAAGTATAAAAGTATTATCATCAAAATATAGTGAAAGTAGCGACAGTAAAAGTAGTCATTGTGCAGATTGGTCCATTTCAGAATAATATATATGATATGTTTAATAATGATTGATCATGAAAGTGTTCTCAAAGCTGGTAAAGGTGCAGCTAGTTTGAATGACTTTGTATACTGCAGGGTAGCTTGTGAATTTACTCCAGGTGGAACTAAAGTCTGATTTAACACTTGATTATATTTCACATCATTCATCCACATCTGTGAAAGTAACTAAAGGTATTAAATACATGTAGTGGAGTCAAAGTACACCTTTTACCTCTGAATTGTAGAGGAGTAGAAGTACAAAGTACCATAAAATGGAAATACTCAAGTAAAGTAGAAGTATCTCATCATGATACTTAAGTACAGTACTTGAGTAAATGTACTTAGTTACTTTACACCTCAGTGGGAGTAGAGGTTTTGAAGTGAATAATTAATACATGAATGCTGAGCTGCCTGAGTCTGATGCAGCTCTGCAGCCGCTGTACTACCACTTTATTTCAGTAGGTGGCACTCAAAATAACTCCGAACCATTCACTCATTTTCAATTCATGTTTAAAATAACAAAACAAATACATTTTCTTTATAACTGCAACACAAATAATTCGACAGAAAAATAGCTGCCACATATTAATCTTTAAAGTAATTTTATGTTGTCAAATGTCAGAAAAGGCTGTTTTCAAACACTCAAACATGGAGATTCCCTGCTTTTCTTTGTTTTGTATCAAATAGGAGTGAATATCTGTGGTTATGGATCTACAAAACAAGACATTTAAAGACATATCGTGGACTTTCAGAAACTTGGGTGAACATTTTTTAACTTCTTCTGGCATTTTGTAGACCTGTCGTTTAATCGATGAACCTTGTTTGGACTACATTTTATTGAGCTTTACTATACGACTCATCAAAGCCCTTTTACACATATAAGTCAGTATTCACCCCTTCATATCCTCTCATACAGAAGCAGGGGCTGCCATGCAAGGTGCCCCCTGCCCAAGGTGGGTAACATTCACATACATTCACACACCGTTGGCCCTCAAGAGAACTCTGGTGATGTATGGATTACATGACATGTCACTTGTTAGACGCTTTTATCCAAAGCGACTTACATACTCAATACTGTGGGCAATCCCCACAGGAGCAATTTGGGGTGAAGTGTCTCAGGGACACAACGACATGCTGACTGCAGTGGGGTTTGAACCTGTGACCCCCTGATCCGAACACCAACGCACAGCGCACAACCCACTGCGCCACACACCGCCATCTTCAAAGTCAACTTTATTGTCAATCTTCCAGTTTGTGTGTACCATAGACTGTATATATAAAGGGTGTGTACAGACAGAGAGATCGAAATACCGTTTCCCACAATCCCGAATACAAAAAATACAAATATATATAAAAATATGTATAAAAATATGTATATACCTATATATACACAATCAAAAGACACATTTATACACATGTGCTCAAGCATACATCAACTTGTTGACTCCAGGAGCTGGGATTGAACCGACAACCTTCCCATTGAAGGAACACTTCCTCACAGCCACAGTGGCAGAAGGCAGTCTCTGACTTC